GAGAAAGAAAACCTTGTTCCAAAGCCCTCCTAAGCAAAATTAAAAGCTTCTTCCATTTTGCTCCCATAACTTTGTATCATATGAGTAGTGAGCTCTTTTTTACTACATCAAGGTTGGCTATATTTATCTGTTTCCTGAAATACTTTATAAGCTACATAAGAGTAAAGACCATGGTCCTGACTCTTGTATGCCCAGCTCCCAGCAGGATGTTTAACAAAAGGTACCTATTAAGAGCCATTTTTGGAATAAATGTACAAGTAAATACCATTTACCCTTTCTTACCACATAAAATCCATGATGTACCTTCTGAGATTTATTATATCAGGCTCTTTCTAGAAAACCATTATTGTTACAGGTTAAATCAAAACTCATATTACACTAATGTTAGGGACTCAGTCAAATTCCAATTCTAATCAACTCATATGATTCTGTTCCACTTCAGTTCTGACATCAATTGCAGATGCAGGGCTTCTTCCTCTGACCCAAACCACCAGAGCTAGATCAGACCTCACAAATTTAAGGGCACAGTTCAACAGACTGCCAAGTTAGCCTAAGAATTCAGATGCCAGCCACAAGCTTGGGGGTTCCCACAAAAGCCTCACGTCTGACCTGCTGGCTACTCCTCAGGATGCTAGCTGATTCCTACTACTCCCTTGGGTTCAATTATTCACTAGAATTACTCACATAACTCAGGAAAGCACTATACTTATGATTACAGTTTTATCATAGCAAAAAGGATACAAATGAAGAGACACGCAGGGCAAGGTCAGGGAGAGTTCCCAGTGCGAAGCCTCCGTGTCCCAAAGAACATGCTACCCTACCAAATATCCTCTTTCACCAACCAGGAAGCCCATGGAGCTTCTGTGTCTAGAGCCCTTATTGGGACCTCAGGCATGACTGATTGAACTCAGCCTCTAGATCCCCATCTCCCCTGAGGTTGGGCTGATTATCACATGGTGGGACTTTTTGGCCTGGCCATCCCAAACCCAAGAGTTACCTCATTAGGTAGGTTAGGTAGGTGTGGTCTAGAGCACTCATCAAAGACACTTGAGTCACCGCAGAAATTCCAAGGTTTTAGAGGTTATCTCCCAGGAACCAAGGACAAAGTCCAAATACTTTAGGTAAAATTAACTGTAAACCCCACAACTAAACAAAGTCTATATTTTCCTACCTCATTCCCATCACACATTCATAAAGGAATATGATTCCTCCTTTCTGATGTGGTCGAAGATGACATACAAGGTGAGGATCTATCACTACATCCACAAGAGGGCAACAGTTCTTATTCAACATCCACTGATGATTCTTGTTTGGACGTGGCATAACAAGGGAATCTGAAGAAAAAAGTAAATGCATACGTGTAAACGTATTGCAATTTCAGTTTGTCAGCAACTGCATTATATGACTTTAATTACTTGTAAAATGGAACTGTTTGCCATCATTTGTGGCCAGAAAGTATTCGAAATTTAGTAACAATAATACTAAGCAAGAGTACAAAATTTTAAAAAGAAAATCTTTTTTTATTCATGCAAAGAATTACAAAGAGTGTTCCAAACTTCATATGCCCAAAAGTGCTTCAAAACCACTAGAACTCACTATTGTCTAATAAGGAATTCAGTCATCCACAAAATTCAATAGCTCAGTATTCAGGGCAAAGAGAAGTATTTCCAACTGAAAGCACAGGTTGGAATTTTGCCAGGATGCATTTGTCAATGCTCACAGCTTCTGACTCTTTCATAAAGCCTCCTCAAACATAACATAAAGACTCCCTTTATTTTCAGTCCTATACACACTAACAATGGCCATGACTTCCATTAATCAGAAGAACTGAGAAAGGATTACAAATTTTCCATTGACTTGGCCATCATTATTTCCTTAAAGTTAATTACTGCATTCATGAAAGTCAAATTCATGAACCTTTGCAAAGCAGCATAAAGTAACCATCAAATAATAATATAATTCTTTAGAAATATGTGAGCATAGTTTAAAAGATTCCTGAAAATATCACCAAAACAAAAAGCAAATTCAGATATAACTAGAAAACAGGTCTCAATTGATAAATCTGAAGTCAGATAATACACCCATCGAAATTATTTTTTAGATGATATTTTCATAGCTACATCATGATCAAAAACTGAATTAGATTAAAAAATAAACAAAAAGGAAAAAAGAAAAGACAAAGAGATGAGACGGGGGATACAAAAAAATAGGTGCCAGTAGATTAAATAAAATATGAGGAAATACATATTCACAAGAATGAGTTTGCTCATGTTTACCATTAATCATTACCCAAAGGACAAGTTTTCTGTGGATCTTCCTAGGTTTTTGAGGAACTCTCATCTCTAAGGTCAATTCCTGGTATGTCGAAGATTGTTGTGGTTGTTGTTTGGTGCCATCAGTTTGATTTTCACCTCATAGCTACCCCATGTGACACAGTAGAACTGCCCCATAGGGTTTTCTTGGCTTTAATCTTTACAGAAGCAAATCGCCAGGTCTTTGTCCTGAGAAGCTGCTGGGTGGGTTCAAACTGTCAACCCTTGGTTTAGCAGCCCAGTACTTAACCATTGCACCACCATGGCTCTTTAGGTAGAAGATTAGGGAGTGAAAATGGAAAATTTAGCCTTTCTTTCTTCTATGTCCCAGTAGCAAAGCAAGAATGTATTCTTTGTGGATTTCCAACCAAGAAATGGTCCCATTTCTTTCTATCTTTTAAAAGAACAAAAGGGAAGAAGAGAAAATAGAGGTGGAGAAGAAGAACCATAGGACAAGTCATTTAACAAAGTGCCCATCTTCAAGAAAGATAAACCTAAATCATACATGGTAATGGCACATCAGCTTGAAAGATACACACACACAAATATGTATACACACACGTATATACACACACACATACACGCATTAATACATAATGTGGGAAAATTATCACAATAAAATTTTTCATTCACTCAGTTTGAAAGAAGGGTACAGTGGAGAAGGAGGGTTGTTAAAACAGCTGGTGGGACAGACATAATATTTGGGTAAAAGAAGAGAAGCTTCTATTCTCTATATTTCAAGTAAGTCTCTAGGGTAAGCTAATGTCATAGAACTAGGAATTTCAAATTTCAGGGTTTTGTCTTAATTATGCCATTGATTATCTGAAGTTAGGTAAATCAATTCATCTTTCAGGGCCTCAGTTTCCTCAAATGCAAGGTTAAGGGACTGATCTAAACGATCTCAAAGGCCCCTTTATCTCAAAAATTATTTGTTCTATAGTATTCGCAACAGGGAAAAATAATTACAGTACTTTGTATATTTTATTTTACTTCTATTGTGAAAGAAGCATACTCAGTCCGCCAACTTCCACATCCACGACACTAAACTTTAATTAAATTTCCTTATCCATCTTCTCTCCAAATCAGAAGTGCTGTAATGGTAGTTTTACCTCTGGGCACAAACACATAAAAGGCATCCAGTGCCCACTTATATGAAGTATCTACAATAGGTAAGTGCATAGAGACAAAACTTTATTAAAGGGTACTGGCAGCTGCGGGGAAGGGAAAATGGGGAGTTATTGCTTAAGGGGTACTGAGTTTCTGTTTGGAGTATTGAAAAACTTTAGGAAATAGATAATGGCGACGGTTGCAGAACATGGTATGGTGAATGCAGTTAATATCATTGAATTATACACTTAAAAATGGTTAAAATAGAAAATTTTTGTGTTATACATATTTTACCACAATAAAACAAACAAAAAAAAGGCATGCAAGAAATATTTCTTGAGTAAACAAACATAAGAATAGTCAGAAACAGGCTAGGTTTCATTTCCTAATGTAATTTTTAAAATTAAATTCATTAACATGAAAAATAAGACTGCTGGTGGCACAGTGTTATGCACTAAGCTGCTAACTGAAAGGTCAGCAGTTTGAACGCACCAGCCACTCCCCGGAAGAAAGATGTGGCAGTCTGCTTCTGAAAAGATTACAGCTTTGGAAACCCTGTGGGGCAGTTCTACTCTGTCCTATAGGGTCATTATGAGTTGGAACTGACTAGACAGCAATGGGTTTTTAATGTGAAAGTAACTAAATGTAATTGGCTTAATAACATTTTAGTGATTCTGTCCTACCTCCTAATTTGTTGCATAGTGTCCGGGGGCTTAAAAGCTTGCAAGTGGCCATCCAAGGTACAACTGGTCTCTATTTGCCTGGAGCAACAGAGTCCTTGAAGGAGAGTCAGGAATAGGAGAAGGAAATGGAATATGTAGCTAATTGCTTCCATTAACAACTGCCTCTCTGCTATGAGACCAGAAGAACTGGATGGTACCCAGCTACTACCACTGAACATTCTGATCAAAGATTCTACGGAAGAATCCTGATCAAAAGAGAGGAAATGCAGAACAGTATTTCAAATTCTCATGGAACCTAAACTTTCTGGAGCCACGTAGGCTGGATGAACTCCTGAAACTATGGCCCTGAGATAATCTTTAAACTTTAAACCAAAAATATCCCCTGAAGTCTTCTTAAAACCAAACAATAGATTAGTGTAACTAGTAAAGAATGTCTGCCTTGAGCATTGTGCTCTTTTAAGATCTATCTATATGGGATCAAATTGACAACAGCAACTCAAAAGATTTGATAGGAGCTTTAGGGGCAGAGAATTTATATTACTGGGAGAGGAACAACTTAAAGGAGAGTGAGAATGATCGCACAACTCAAAGAATGTAATCAATGTCACTGAATTGTACATGTAGAAATTGTTGAATTGGTATATGTTCTGTTGTGTATTGCTCAACAACAGCAGCAACAAATAAATGATTAAATAAATAAAATAACGAAATGAACAGAATTTAATTTTCACGAGTTAAATTTGAGTTCTTTACATGATATCTCACCATTCAATATTTTAATATACTAATCCATGTGATCAAGGCATATGGTCTTCAAACAGGAGAAATAAGCATAACTCTGATTCATGAATTTATTACTTTTTCTCGTTACTAAAGATGTCAGGTTTTATTCAAAATTATTTGTGTATGTATCCATCTACAATTTATGTATTTGTCCTTCAAAACATGAATAGCATTGAATACTATATTCTTGGGATTGTGAATTTACATATGAAACAATTCCCAACCTATATTGTCATACAACTCAATATTATCCCTTAGGTCAGATTATATGTCTGAAGAATAATATTAATATATACTTTCAATTGAACATGTGAAAAACAAAATTTAAACCTCAAATTTGCATACCAAAAACACTTTAACAGTAAAAACAGAATATTCAAATTATTTTTAAACTCTTACTTGGTGCATATGGGTCATAGCGTGGTTTGCAGTTTTGGAAATTATTCTGTATATTTTCCCTTGAATTTGGTTTACAGACATTTTTGAAAGGGTTAGAGAAACACTTCTTGGCAGGCTGAGAAGAACTTGAGACAGCAGGACTTCCTCCTCCGAGCTGAAAACACTTGCCACTGTTGAAGTCATCTGGAGAGATTATACCCATGACTTCTATTTCTTTTCCACCAATCATCAGTGTTTGACCCTCATCAATCTTTTTAAGATCTTTGAATTTATATCCAATGCCTTTAAATTGAGGGGAAAAAAAAAGGTAATTTAATTTACTAGCACTCAGCTCTAAGATTACTTAATTACCATAGTCACCTTTCCTTATATTATCTCAACTGTAAAGAATGAAAGCTATGTTTTGAATTTAAATAGCCGTATATAACATAACCCACTAGCCAGAATGGAAACCTAATTTATCATTTTGGTTAAACAAAAAAAATTCTAAAAATCAGAAGAAATAAATAAGAAAACAGCTATAAAAACTGGCTAAGCTTAAGAAAAAGACTTTTTTTTTAAATTGAAAATGCAGCCTAGTGTATTCTTATAGTTTTGCATCTCATCTGTGGTAAAAAAGAAGAACAAGACAAGAAAAGAATTTGGTAGGCCATATGGGTCCTCCTCCTTTCTTGTGAACCAACTAGAGAAACACCACGGCATCTATATTTCCACTTACAAACAGCTGGAAACATGAAGGAGGAGCAATGATAGCAACTGCTACCACAGCCAGTACTATACTGTTCCACATGAGCTAGGAAAGTTAGAATACAGTTGTGTCAAGAGGCCGAGACATTCCAAGTTCTGGCACTTTAATTAAAAGGGAGGTATTTTATAATTTTAAGTTTGTTTAAATTATGATTCATACAGCAGACATTTATTAAGTGCTGCCATGGGTAAAGTGCTGAGGGAATAAAAACATCAATAAGTCGGTCACTCTCTGTTCTAAATGAGCTCATTAACCACTTAGAATGTTGGAATTTTAAACTCCTATGCAGTTATTGTGCCATTAGGAAGGGCAGGAACTATGTACACCACAAACCTTTTTTTAAATCTCTAAATAAACTAAAAGACTGTCACATTTTAGAAAATGACTCTATTCAACTAGCTGAAAACTGCTACAATTTGTTCTATTAACACTGGGCTAAAATTTATAATCTGTGCCAATCTGTAAGTAGTATATATTCTTAAATCACTTACGGTGGAACATTTTTTAATTTTAATACTCTGATTTAGGGACAAATTATTTAGCTGATGTTCCTAAATGCCAAAGGTCCATTCCTCCATGCCCAAATTACTATCTCTATACAGCAGTGGTCTTGACCTTTTCATAATAATGAAAACTACAGCTTTTATCTTCATATAGAATTCATGTTAACCTCAGTTTTACATGAAAATGGGAGATAAGAATAATCTTTTCCTTTGGGGGTACTTTTAGAAGTTTCTCCAATCCAGGATCTCTCATCTCACTTTGATCCACGGTAGTGACTCAAGAATCTCTAAATCTCCAGATCCACCCACCCACTGCTGTCGAGTGGATTCTGACTCATAGTGACCCCATAGGGTCTCCAAGGCTATAAATCTCTAGGAAGCAAACTGCCACATCTTTCTCTCACGGAGCCCCTCATGGTTTCAAACAGCTGACCTTTCAGTTAGCAGTTGATCACTTTAGCCACTGTGCCACCAGGGCTCCTTAAATTTCCAGAAGACATTCTTAAAACTCTCAAACTTTGTTTCCCACACTTCTTTTTTTCCTGGACATTGTGTAAGGATGGCCAGTTGAGGATGGCCAATTGAGTCTGACTGCATTAGAACAAGCTATCAGTAATTTCCTGGAGCCTTAGTGGCACAGTGGTTTAGCGCTAGGTTGCTAACCAAAAGGTCAGCGGTTCGAACCCACCAGCTACTCTGCAGGAGAAAGATGTGGCAATCTGCTTGCATAAAGATTTACAGCTTTGGAAACCCTATGGGGCAGTTCTACTCTGTCCTACAGGGTTGCTAGGAGTCAGAATCAACTCAATGGCTATGGGTTTGTGTTTTTTGTTTTATCAGTAATTTCAGTACTGTAGCCTTCGATTTCTTTTAGCATCTCTACCCCTACTTTTAACAATATTTAAATTTTGTATATCCAATATATTTAAAAGAAAAATTGCTTGGATTCTAGGCAACTAACTTGCAAAATTAACTGTGGGTTGATACATTTATTAATATTATAATTCTGCAAACAGATTCTGTCCTACGTTTGGATGTATTTTGAAAGCAAATATAATCCTCTTTATGTTTAAACCAGTGATTCTCAACTCCTGGCTGATATTACAATCATCTGGGAAATTAAAATATACCTTTGCCCAGTCCCTTCTCCCTCACCACTCGGGTGAATTAAATCAGAGCCTCAGAGGTCAGTGCTTGGGCACTGGTACTTTTTTTAAAAGCACCTCAGGTGATTCTACTGTGTAATCAGAGTGAAAAACCACTGGTTTAAGCCTAAATTATCTTTTGTGCTGCTTGAAACTGAAAGATCATTTTATTATAAACTACATATGCACAAGAGCACTGGTGGCGTAGTGGTTAAGTGCTTGGCTGCTAACTGAAAGGTCAGCAGTTCGAAGCCACCAGCTGCTCCACGGGAAAAAGATGTTAACAATCTGCTTATGTAAAGATTTTCAGCCTTGCAAACCCTATGGGGCAGCTCTACTCTGTCCTATAGGGTAGCTATGAGTAGGAATCAACTCAACAGCAATGAGTTTGGTTTTGGTTTTATGTGTACACAAAACCATGTATATTACACTTTATTGGTAAGAGATATTCTAGGGTAATTTTGATAATTTTTAGCTGAATTTAGGACATAATTTCACTAAAGATGCAACACCACTGCATGAACAAGTTCTCCAAAAACCTAGCCCTGATCTACCTTCACCAAAAACATGGAATGCATGGTATAGTTTTCCTTCTAATTCCTCTAAACACCAACATAATACTGTGTACATACTAGCTGTTTGATATTTTTAGAATACATAAAACTTTCTGTTGCAGATAATTCCATTCAGCCTCAAATCCTGCAACTGTCACTGTCCTTCATAGACTACTTTCCTAAAACACTGAACTAGTTTTAATTCTCTTATGCCTTTGTGCATTTGTATAAAGCTATTCCCTCTTGCCCTAGAACATGCCCTTTTCTTATAACCTCTAAAATTTCATCCTTCAAATTTTACCTAAAAAATAACACTTATGAAGCCTTCCCCTATAAATGGTCCTTCTATGTATCCACTGTGCTTTGTAAAACTCCTCAGTGAAACAATTACCTTACTACTTCCTAATTATCAATTACATTGCCGTGTCCCTACATAACTATAAATTACATTCATTATTGAATCTTCACTATTAGCACAGTGCTTGGCACACAAGAGTCACTCAAAAAACTATTTAAACTGTGATATTTTTAAATTAATGAATGAACGTGCAAAACAGAAATTATAATTACAGGCCACACTCAAAACTGAACAATAAGAGACAAACAATTAAGTCTGATGCTCAGGCATTCTGAATTTGCGGACATAACTTTATTAGCACTAGTTGTGCCAGCAACATTTTATAAAGGAAAGTATCATAACTTCCAATTTGGATATATTAGTCTAGGTCATGCCAAATCATTAGCTCTTTGTTTTTTTCAAAATTTTAAATTGAGTGTCCTTGAAATTAGAGATCATTCTACTCTTGATACCAATATTTTTTATATTTTTAATCACTTAATATTCTGGGGGAAAAAAAAGAAACAAAAGTACACTAAGACATCTGAATTTCAGAAAAATGTCAAAATAATTGTATATCACTAACAGGCCATTTCATTTTCGGAACAAATGAAACCACAGGATGGGATTTGTTTCAGTGAGTTAGCATAGGTCATGATATTGTCAGACTGATTAAATATTGTGAGATAATTTTATGTATTATACACAATTTAGGCATGAAAGTCACTCAAAGAACATTTTAATCTGTCCCTTTTATAAAACTTCATTATATTTCAACCATGTATCCAGAGATACACACTAATTTCGGATAAAATCATAAACATCAGGTAATATCACAATACCTTTTCCAATGTCTTTGCCTTCCAAATCCTTTAATGTAAGCGACCTGCCTTTTACAATAAGAACAGCATCACCTTCCCACTTTTTGTGTTTTTTCTTTGAAGCCTTACACCAAACAACACTGAAATATTTAACTAAGTTATCAGGTTCCTCTTCTTTTGCACTGGACACTGTCAGTTCTGTTGGGGCTGAATAAGCTAGAATAAAAAATAAAATAAAAACTACACTTTTAAAGATGACTCTTTAATATTTAAATAGTAAGGTCATTCAAACAAAAATAAAGACACAAGTAATTAATGCCACTGAATTGTCACACTTAAAAAGGCGTTTTACATTAGATATTTTATCATGATAGATTTTTAAAATAAAGACATAGGGAAATCAGATTGTATTAACAATAAGTATGACCATACTCATATTAGTATTTTCCAAACTGAGAAATCCAAATGTCAGGTGTTAGCATTACCATACAAGTACACTGAATATACACTTCTTACATTCAGTTGAAGTAGAATAATAATCACTATACACATTTAAAACTCTAGTAATTAAAGATAATATTTCAAAGTCCATAATCACGTATTTTGAACAAACAACTGATTTAATTAATAGTAACATAATAAGTCGAGGAAAGGTAAAACAAGATTGTAGAGTTCTCTGAATGGAAAACCTATACTTTTTTCATATAAGAACAAAAACAGCAAAGTAAGAATGAGACTAAATGTCATTAAAATACTTTTGTCTCCTAGTTAGGGAATAATCAGATTGGGCCAGTGATTCCCAGAATTCAGTAGTTTCTGATTAGGAGATGTTTCTTCTTGCAAAAGTCTGTAATTTCCTCAGAAACATTCCCATATCACCTTATTAAAGCATATCTAACCAGTATTACACAGAAAATATTACAGCAGCAGGGAAACTAATCTGTGGTGACAGAACTCAGAAAACAGTTGCTGTTCTGGAGTGAGCAGATTGACTAGAAAAGTACAGGAGAGAAGAACTTGTTATGAGTGGGGGTAACATTAAAAAAAACAAACCCATTGCCGTCGAGTCAATTCTGACTCATAGCGACCCACAGAACAGAGTGGAACTGCTCATAGGGTTTCCAAGTCTGTAATCTTTAAAGAAGCAAGACTGTCACATCTTTCTCCTGCAGAGTTGCTGGTGGGTTCAAACTGTCAACCTTTCAGTTAGAAGCTTAACAACTGCACCACCAGGGCTCCTCTCACATCCATTAGACTGGCTAAAATTAAAAAAAAAAAAAAAAAAAAATGACCACACTGTGTGTAGCAACCGGAACTATCACACCCTGCTGGAAGGAATGTAAAAGATCAAAACCACTTTGGAAAATAGTTTGGCTGTTTCTTAAAAAGTTAAACATACAAAAACAGCAATTCCAAAGATTAGACAGGAATATTTGAGGCCAGTGAATTTATGTTAATGGAGGAGGAACAACTCAGAAAAGGAGGGTGAGAATGGCTGCACAACTTGAAGAACGTAATCAATGTCACGGAATTGTACATATAGAAATTGTAGAATTGATGTATGTTTTGTTGTGTATATTCTCAACAACAACAAAATAAATAAATAAAAAATAAAAATAAAAAGATGAGGTCATCTTGGATTAGGGTGGACCCTAAATCCAGTATAAAAAGAAAGAAATTGAGACAGAGACACAGACACATGGGGAAGAAGGTCATGTGAAGATGGAGGCAAAGAATGGAGTGAGGTATGTTCTACAAGTCAAGGAATTCCAAAAATTGCTGGCAACCATCAGAAACTAGAAAGGCAGTAAAGGATTCTTTCTTAGAGCCGTTGAGCACAGTCCTGCCAACACCTTGGTTTTGGACTTCTAGTCTCTACAAATGCAAGACAATAAATGTCTGTTGTTTTAAGCTAAGGAGCCCTGGTGGTGCAGTGGTTAAGAGCTCCGCTGCTAACCAAAAGGTTGGCAGTTCGAATCCACCAGGCACTCCCTGGAAACCCTATGAGGCAGTTCTACTCTGTCCTATAATCACTATGAGTCACAATCAACTCGGAAGCAATGAATTTTAAGCTAAAACAAAAGTTAGACATGTCTACTATAACCAGCCATTCCGTTCCTAGGTATTAACCAAAAAGCAAAGAAAACTAATGTCCACACAAAAAAAAAACTTGTACATCTTCAAGCCAGGTAAATAAATCATCCAAAAGCATGAAAACTCATTGTCACTAGAATTCAGATAATTCATATTTCTGGCATTCATAGATTTAGAAAGTAAGTCTTCACTATCTTCAAACCTCAGAACTATCAAAGGCTTTTCCTGAGAAAACAAATGATTCTTATCCAGCTGAGTCAGCTCCGTCAGAATTTCAAAGCAGGTGGCAACCCCTAATGCACAGCCCAAAGAACTCATCATCCCAGAAAGGATTCAGGCTGCTGTAACCCTGAACAGGAGCCAAGCAGTCACAAGACTTAAGTGCAGTTGCCCCGATTTCCTGGCCTTCCATAATGAGAGTGTGTGGACCAAGGGTTATTTTTGGATGGTACTTTGAAGGAAAATATGCTTCTATAATACCAGTAAATATTGAATATAGTTTTTATTCTCTTTTCATATATTAATGTGAATACATTTCCCATGTCATTGAATAAAACAATAAAATGATCATTAATATCTGCATAATATGGTTTTAGTCTCCTATTGTTGGACAATTGTTTCACATTACATTGACTTCTTTTTCTCTTGGTGTACTCACCCTTCTGTATAGTAGCTTAAATTTCCAATTGCTAGATTAGATCAAGCTGCCTTAGTTGATATCTCAGCATTTTGTACTTGATCTTTGTTGCACTCATGTCAGTGGTAATTATATAAGAAATTAATGTCAGTCTTCCTGATGAAATTATATAAGGTCTTCAGAGAAGTCTGTTTCTATCTTGTTCCTCACCATATTTGCAGAACAAAAGCTACTTTTAGAAAGGGCCATTTTTACCTCAGGGACATTTTGACTCCATATTTATGAAAATTTATTTAAAATACAATCATCTTAAAATTAATGAATTTTCACTGAAAAAATAGTTAACACCAAACTCATCTCCGTTATTGTGAATTTTTGTTTCCATTTTAAAGAATTTCCTTCACAATCATTTTCCAAGAAAATTTTACAGCGAAGATTTGAGTCGTTTTCTTATGTATTAAATTTTACTGATTAGTTTTTACCATCATGAGTTTTCTTTTATAAATTTCATCAAGTCTAGGTTGGCTGAGTTAAATTTTGCATATCTAGAAATTATCAATATTGTATTAATCCATTTTAATAAAAAAAAATTGACCAATGTTTAAAGTGGTCATTGTTTCAACCAACTTGATCTCATAGACATATACCAAACACTTCACCCAACAGCAGCCAAGTATACTTTCTTTTCCAATGCACATGGAACATTCTCCAGAACAGACCACATATTAGGCCATAAAGCAAGCCTTAAAAAAATCCATAGCATCAAAATATTACAAAGCATCTTTTCTGACCATAAAGCCATAAAAGTAGAAAACAATTTAAAAAAAAAAAGCAAGGAAAAAAATCAAACACATGGAAACTGAACAACACCTTGCTCAAAAACTACTGGGTTATACAAGAGATTAAGGACAGAATAAAGAAATTCATAGAATCAAACAAGAACAAAAATACATCCTACTAGAACCTTTGGGGCACAGCAAAAGCATTGTTCAGAGGTCAGTTTATAACAATAAATTCACACATCCAAAAGAAGAAAGGGCCAAAATCAAAACACTAATCCTATAACTTGAAGAAGTAGAAAGAGAGCAGCAAAAGAAGCCCTTGGGCACCAGAAGAAAGGAAATAATAAGAACCAGAGCAGAATTAAATGAAATAGATAATAGAAAAACAATTGAAACAGTTAACAAGACCAAAAGCTGGTTCTTTGAAACGATCAACAAAATTGATAAACCACTGGCCAAACCGACAAAAGAAAAACAGGAGAGGAAACAAATAACCCATATAAGAAATGAGATGGGTGATATCACAACAGACCCAACTAAAATTAAAATAATCATAACAGAATACTATGAAAAATTGTACTCTAACAAATATGAAAACCTAGAGGAAATGGACAAATTTCTAGAAACTCACTACCTACCTAAACTAACACAAACAGAGGTAGAAC